GGTTAAGATTACATGAAGTAAACTACTCAAACTCTAACATCCTCCCTTAATCTAAACTATCCTATATTGAGATTTCTCTTGAACACTTCAAAAGACTTGGCCGGCAAAGCTTTGGTGAATCCATCAGCTACTTGATCCTTAGATGGAATGAACCGTATATCCAACTTTTTCTCTCCAACCTTTTCACGCACAAAATGAAAATCAATCTCAATGTGTTTGGTTCTATCATGAAACACTGGATTAGCAGAAAGGTAGGTTGCTCCCAAGTTATCACACCATAAACAAGATATACGAAGTTGCTTGATTCCTAACTCATGAAGCAAAGATTCCACCCAAATAATTTCAGCAGTTGCATTTGCTAGTGATTTGTATTCAGCTTTTGTACTTGACCTTGACACAGTGGCTTGTTTTCTGGCACTCCAAGAAATAAGGTTTGAACCAAAAAATACTGCAAATCCTCCAGTTGACTTTCTGTCATCAACACATCCTGCCCAATCAGCATCAGAGAAAGCACTGACAAGTGTGGAACTAGAACGTCTGAACTGAAGTCCCAAACTCACAGTATGTTTAATGTATCGTACAATCCTTTTGACAGACGTCCAATGAGTGGAGGTAGGAGCATGTAAATATTGACAAACCTCGTTTACAGCAAACGATATGTCTGGCCGTGTCAAAGTTAAATATTGTAGGGCTCCAACAACACTTCTATATTTTGTGCTCTCCTCTTCATTAAGAGGTTCTCCTTGATATGCTGAAAGTTGTTCTAAAGAAGACAATGGTGTAGGTGAGGGTTTGCAATCCTTCATTCCCATACGAGTTAGAAGTTCAGTGGCATATTTTTCTTGATTCAACACTATGCCATCCTGAGTCTTCTTAACTTCAATGCCTAAGAAGAAATGTAAATCACCAAGATCCTTCAGAGCAAATTCTGAACTCAAATCACGCAAGAGAGCATTAGTGGCATCTTGTGAAGAGCTTGAAACTATAATATCATCCACATATATGAGCACAAAAATCATTGTGTTTGCCTTATTATAAATGAAGAGAGATGTATCTGCCTTGGATGGAATAAACCCAAGATGCTTCAACTGTGAGCTTAGCCTTGAGAACCATGCTCTAGGTGACTGTTTCAGACCATAAAGAGCTTTGTCAAGCTTGCAAACATAACGAGGTGTTTGTTTATTTTCATATCCTGGTGGTTGCCTCATATAGACCTCCTCTTCCAGAACACCATGCAGAAACGCGTTCTGAACATCTAGCTGGCGAAGACTCCATCCCCTGGAAACAACAATGGCTAGCACAAGTCTTATAGTAGCAGCTTTTACAACTGGACTAAAGGTATCATCATAATCAATACCATATCGTTGCTTAAATCCTTTTGCAACTAGACGTGCTTTATATCTATCAATGGAGCCATCTGCTTTTCTTTTAATTCTATAGACCCACTTGCAGTCAATAATATTTTTACCTCTCTGACTTGGCACCAAGTGCCATGTTTTATTTTTCATGAATGCATCATACTCTTCATCCATAGCCTTTCTCCATTTAGGATCTCCAAGTGCATCACTCAACCTTACTAGTTCACCTGAAACACATAACATTCCATATGGTATAGTGCCATCCCTTCTTATTTTAGGATTTCTAATACCTTTTTGTAGCCGGGTCATGATCCTTGAAGTAGTAGCAGGCTGTTCTTGCTATTGCACATGAGATTGCATAGACTGGCTGGTGGCAGAAGATCCTGGCGACCCATCCATGTGTGCAGACTGGGCTGATGTACTGGATCCAGTAGACCCTGGTGTGGCTTGACCCGAACTAGCGACGGCCGAGTCCACAGAGTAATCCGGAGCAGAGAATCCCGAGCCTGGCGCTCCTGTCCCCTGCATGTGCGCGCCGGACGAGGGAGATCACGTGTCCTCTCCTGTCCCTTGCATGCGCGTTGACGTGGCCGATGCGGAGCGGGCAGGGGACGGCTGATTCCTCTGTCGGCTGACAGGCGTGTGATCCCGCGCGGATCCCCGCCCGTGATCCAGGGCGGATCGGCGCACAACCGTGGCAGGCGCCGCCGCATCCTCCTCGTGCTCCACGCCTGCTGCTTCTTCCTCATACACATCAAATATAGCATCATTTTGTACTGGATTTTGATCATCTTGACCATTTTGAATGTCGTTTTCTTCATGCACCTGCACAGGCATAGTACCAGGAGTAGAACTAGAAGAAATATTAGTACATTGGTTAGCACAATTGTTATCACCCCCTTGATCAAACTCCGGAAGTAGTAGAATTTCTTTTCGAAGAAGGGCACCGGCATTTGGATGAAGAGACTTGAAAGGAAAAACAGATTCATCGAAGACAACATCCCTAGATATATAGACTCTGCCAGTAGAGACATCAAGACATTTGACTCCTTTGTGTATAGGACTATAACCCAAGAAAACACATTGTTTGGAACGAAATGCAAGTTTGTGTATGTTGTATGGTCGAAGATTCGGCCAACATGCACAACCAAATATGCGGAGAGATGTGTAATCAGGAGTAATACCAAAAAGACGAGTGATAGGATTTTCAAATTTGATGACTTTACTACGAATATTGATGAGATATGTTGCAGCGAGAAAGGCCTCATCCCAGAATTTGAGAGGCATAGATGCATGAGCTAGCAATGCTAGTCCTACTTCAACAATGTGGCGATGCTTTCGTTCAGCGGAACCGTTTTGTTGGTGAGCATGGGGACAAGATACATGATGAGAAATTCCAATTTTTTGAAAAAAAGAATTAAGTTTCTCATACTCACCTCCCCAGTCCGTTTGCATGGCAAGAATTTTAGAGTTCGGTTGACGTTCAACAAGACTTTGAAAGTTGCTAAAAACTTGAAAGACATCGAATCGCTTCTTGAGCAAATAAATCCAAGTAAACTTTATAGTCATCAATAAAGCTTACATAATAGGAAAATCTACCGACTGAAGTGGGGGCTGGTCCTCAAACATCTGAGAAAATAAGTTGTAACGGAGCAGTAGATACACTAGTAGAGATGGGGTATGGTAACTGATGACTTTTTGCTTGTTGACACGCATCACAAACTGACTCAATACTAGACACAAAAGGAAGTTTATTCTTGCTAATGACATGCTGAACTATAACTGAAGATGGATGACCCAAGCGTCGATGCCACTTTTCTGAAGATGGTTTGGTGACACTCCAAGCTTGTTTATTTGACTCTGACGTAGAAGAAGATGATGTGATTGGATAGAGACCTCCCTCGCATCTTCCTCTAAGGATGACTCTCCTCGTTGCCAAATCCTTAATCACAAAAGAGTAAGGGTAGAATATGATGAGAACATTATTGTCAAGTGTAAAGCGATGAATGGAGACAAGATTTTTTGATGCATGAGGGATATGTAAGACATTGTTGAGACGAAAAATTTTCTGAGGGGTTTTAACAATTGAGTTACCAATGTGAGTAATATCCATACCAGCTCCGCTTGCCATGTGAACTTGGTCACCTCCGTGGTATTTCTCCCGCATTGTCAGCTTATCAAGCTCTCCTGTGATATGTTCGGTGGCACCCAAATCTGCATACCAATTAGTGTCGATGCCATACGAATTGGTGACGAGGTTAACCTTCTTCCTTTCCTGACGATCTTCCTTGTACCGATCCCAGCAGTCCCTGGCGCCACCAGCATGGAATTTGTAACATATCTGGCACTCGGGGTAATCCTCCTCATGCTGCTGCTGATACTGCTGCTGCGGTGGCTGGCGTTGACGCTGCTGGTAGCCGTTGTTCCCACCGGTGCGAACAGGAGAAGAGGGAGCACGATCAGAGCGACCACGCCCTCTACGTCCGCGGCCTCCTCTGCCCCGAGACTGGCCGCGCCCCTGTACATGGCATTGGCTGATGAACGAAAGCCTGGTCCGTCGCCAAGCATCTCCATCCTCTGATCAAAGGCGGATATCTGCGAGAAAAGATCATCAACAGAGATTAAATTCTTGATGGCGCCAACTGCTGCAACGATGGGATCGTAATCCCGATCAAGTCCGGCGAGGATGTAGTCCACCATCTCTCCATCTATCACCGGACGACCCGCTGCCGCAAGCTCGTCTCCGAGGCTCTTCATCTTGGTGATGAAAGCATTGCCGGACATGTTGCCCTTCTTGGTGTTGGAGATGGCGATCCTCAGGTTTGTTATTCGCGATTGCGACTGCGCAGCAAACATCGTGGTAAGGGCGGTCCATAGATCAAGGGTACTTTCCTTACCGATAACTTGCGCGAGGATTTCTGGAGTGAGCGAATTTAGCAGATAACTTAGGACCTGCTGATCTTTGGCAATCCATGGACTATAAAGTGGATTCAGCTCGATGGCCGTGGTTTTGTCTGCCTTAGCGACCTCCACTGTTTTCGGCGGCGCTGCATCGCTGCCGTCGAGAAGACCGGTCACATGCGCGCCTCGCAGGGCCGGCAGAACTTGCGCCTTCCATAGGAGGTAGTTCCCCCTTGCGAGCTTCTCTGTTGGTGGGGCGCCGAGGTTGAGGCCGACGGCACTAGAGCTCATGACGATGACGATGGAAGGGCGCTAGGGTTCTGATTTTTTGTGTTGCTAGATGATAGGGAAGAGGCTAGCTCTGTATACCATGTAAGATTTGGTATAAGTGTTCCTACTCCTCGAGGGAGCCGTGTTGTGTATATTTATATGGGGCAAACAATGCCTTGCCGTGGCATACAAGAGAGACCAGAAAGAAATCCGATCTGGTTCGGTATAAGAGATAGACAAGGATACGAGAGAGAGAGAGAGATAGAGATAGGTTAAGATTACATGAAGTAAACTACTCAAACTCTAACATACTCCCTCTGGTCCTTTTTACTCTGCATATTAGAATTCTCTGAAGTCAAACTTCACAAAGTTTGACCGTATTTATATGAAATAATATCAACATCTGCTATGCTAAAGTTATATAATATGAAACTTTAAGTCATGACACATCTAGTAGTATTGATTTCAGATTGTGAATGTTGACATTTTTTTCTATAAAGTTGACCAAACTTTACAAAGCTTGATTTCAGTCAAATCTTATATGTGAACTAAAAAGGACCGGAGGGAGTATGTATTATTCAGACAACTTGCTTTCATCAGCCAGTCAACAACGCACCCAGTGCACAACACGGATTTGGCCATCTACCTGGAACGAGTGGAAAGAAAAAAATATTTTAAAAATTAGCTCGGACACATGCTAATTACTCCCTCCGTTTTTAAATATAAGTCTTTTTAGAGATTCCAATTAAAAACTACATACAAAGTAAAATGAGTGAATCTACACTCTAACATGCGTCTATATACATTCGTATGTAGTTTTGATGTATATAGACGCATTTTAGAGTGTAGATTCAGCAAAATGAGTGAATCTACACTCTAAAATGTGTCTATATACATCTTGCTCCGTATGTAGTCTCTTATTGAAATTCTAAAAATACTTATATTTAGGAAGGGAAGGAGTAACTGCCAACTAGAGACAATCGACCACATGCACCCCTCCCTCATCACACACACCAATAGCAAAAAGACAACGATCCACCACATGAGATTCCAGAATATTAATTTATCTACTACTATGTGTTTACCTTTTTGCTAAGCAAGGCTCACTGGTGCAGACCAAGCCAAATCTCTTGTTCAGACCTCTTCCTTCCAGACCAAGACATCACTCAGTCGGTTCACCACCCACCCCACACTCACTGCCTATAAAAGCTTACCCACAGCACCCCACACTCATCTCCTCACAACCCTGTTCCACATCAGGAACAGAGAGGAGGAAGACAGCCCCCAACCAAACCCAGCACTCCATCAATCCCCTCCACACACACACACACACACACAAAAGGCCATGGCGCCATCGTACGACAAGACCATCGCCACGGCGGCCTCCCTCGCGGCGTTCCTCATGCTCGTCCGCAGCCTCGCGAGCGAGCTGCTGCCGGCCGAGGTGCGCGACGCGCTGTCCTCCGCCCTCGCCAGCCTCCGCTCGCGCATGACGTGGCAGCACACAATCGTCATCGAGGAGACCGAGGGCTGGTCCAGCAACCGCGTCTACAACTCCATCAAAGCCTACCTGGCCACGCGCATCAACGCCAACATCAACATGCAGCGCCTGCGCGTCAGCAGCGGCGAGGACGCTGAGAAGATGGTCGTCAGCATGGAGGCGGGCGAGGAGATGACAGATGTGTATCAAGGAGCAGAGTTCAAGTGGTGCCTGGTCACCCGCGAGGTCAGTGGTGACCCGAACAACGGTGGCGGTGAGCTTCAACAAGAGGCACAAGGAGAAGGCGCTCAAGGAATACCTCCCGTTCATCGTCGCCACGGCCAAGGCCATCAAGGACCAGGAGAGGAGCCTTAGCATCTACATGAACGAGCGCTACGACGAGTGGTCCCCGGTTGGCCTCCAGCACCCCTCCACCTTCGACACCCTCGCCATGGACCATAAGCAGAAACAGTCAATTGTCGACGACCTTAACAGGTTCATCAAGAGGAAGGACTACTACAGGAGGATCGGCAAGGCACGGAAGCGCGGGTACCTACTGTACGGCCCTCCGGGCACCGGCAAGTCCAGCCTCATCGCCGCCATCGCCAACCACCTCAGGTTCGACATCTACGATCTCGAGCTCACCGGGGTCGACTCCAACTCCGATCTCAGGAGGCTTCTTGTCGGAATGACCAACCGGTCCATTCTCGTGGTTGAGGACATCAACTGCACCATCGAACTCAAGCAGCGGGAGGAAGAAGACGAGGAGCAATCCAAGTCCAGTTCTACAGAAAAGAAGAAGGCGGAAGACAAGGTAAACTTTGCAGTCAGAATGAATGCCTTATGCGTATATATAAACCTCTTTGACTTCTCCTTCAATTTTTGACAGCTTTCTTCCTCACCTATGCTGATGACTAATTTGGTTGCTGTCTGCACAACAGGTCACACTGTCTGGGCTGCTCAATTTTGTCGATGGCTTGTGGTCGACAAGTGGGGAGGAAAGGATCATCATCTTCACCACCAACTACAAGGAGCGTCTCGACCCGGCACTTCTGCGGCCTGGCAGGATGGACATGCACATCCACATGGGGTACTGCACCACGGAGGCTTTCCGAATTCTTGCCAACAACTACCATTCCATCGACTACCATGCCACCTATCCAGAGATCGAGAAGCTGATCGAGGAGGTGACGGTGACGCCTGCAGAGGTTGCCGAGGTCCTGATGAGGAACGACGACACTGATGTTGCGCTGCATGATCTTGTCGAGCTCATAAAGTTAAAGAAGAAGGATGCGACTGAGATCAAAACTGAAAGTAAGAAGACAGAGAAGAAAGATGCCACTGATGACATCAAGATTGAGGCTACGCAGGTGGATGGGAAGAAAGATGGTGGTGAGATCAAGACTGGAAGTGTGCAGGTGGAGGAGAAGAAAGATGACAAAGAAGTGGTGGTGAAGAATGTTTTCACAGAAAACAGAAGCAGTTAGGAGTGCGGAAGCTAACGGTGACGAAAGAGTGCGCTTACCATGTAGATAGATCCTACAGGAGATCCATTATTGCAGCATACATATATATGTTGTGATCATTTTGACAACTAAAAACATTGCATTTTTGGAGGAGTTCGGTGCATCTGTACTTTCTAACAGTGTGTTTCTAGTAATTTGTAAGTACAGTTGCGACGAGTTACATATATGCAACTTAAACGCTCTGCATAAGATATTAGCCAAGAGCCATGTGACCCTACACACAGACAGTAGCATAGTTACTACTCCCTCCGTTCCAAATTACTCGTCGTGGTTTTAGTACAAACGGAGGGAGTACCTGGTTGCGGGATGGATAAACCCAATGATATTCTTGATGACATGCAGAAAACTAGCATATAGTGCCCTCGGATTATCCCCTAGCTAGAAGTGAATAGAGCAGAGTAATATGAGAAAAATGGAAGTATTCTCTTGGAATATAGTATATACTAGTAACTGACTGGCGTTCACTACGAACCATCGGGTGACGCAAAATAAAAAAAGAAAAAAAACACGTGCGCCGATCTGGACGGTCGACTCGATGGTAACGTAACCTCATCATCACTTTCTTCCAGAGACACAAGTAGCCATCCATCCAGCCACTGGAGTCATCCATGAGGCATATATTTGTCACTTATTGTTTCAGTTACACGACGTGGACGGGTCTTGGCCCGTGCGCGTGAGCTAGCATGGAATGGAAAGTAATGACAAGTAAAAGCATAGCACGGAATCGAAAGTAATGACAAGCAAAAGCATAGCACCACATACAAGAATGGACAGTACACACAACAGAAAATGACAGGTAGTAGAAGGAGTAGGCAGCAAGGATGATACCTGCATTTTCTGTTATGCTGTGTGTTGTGTGTGTACGTTGTTCCCCGACAGGTAGTCAGGAAGGATCACATCATCTTCTGCTTTTTTCGAGAAACTCTATATATGTATGTTGTTCCCCGACAAAAAAGAGTGCAATCCCACACAAGAGACGAACTTGGATGCCAAGGAAGCAGAGTACATGACACACACCGCTCGCTTTACGACTTTCGCGGTCCATCTGAAACGAATCCATGGAAAAAAAATATACTGCATTCAGTGGGTGATTCAGATGCAAATGCTCGCTAATTACCATAGAACCAATTGATGCCCAGAGCATATACTACTAGCCTACTGCACTCAGAATAGCAAGTGCCAGTTTCAGACTGCATCAACAATCTACCGTGTATGCACGCAAGGGGACTTAATTAATGTGGAAGGAAGCTACACCAGTTGGTTAGTGATGTGATGCTACTCTGCTACCTTTTCCAGCACCCACGCAGACGCCAGCCAACACGCATTGACGGTGGAATGGAATGTAGTAATGACAAACAAAGGCACAGTGCGGTAGGCAAAAGTAGACATGACCGAAAAATGGAGAGTAGTAGCAGAAGAAATAGGCAGCGACTCAATTTTCAGCTGTGTCTACCTCAGCAAGTTTAAGTGATTCAGATGCAAATGCTCATTAACTAGCAAAGAACCATTTTTTTCAAAAAAAAAAGAGAGATAAGTATCAATTGAAGCTTCAAAATCTGTACTGCTATACTCCCAGAACACCACATGGTTAGTAGGTGCCGGTAAGCGGTAATTACAGGCTGTATGAATAATCTGCCGTAAGTAGGAGATTGATTCCCTTGCAGGGGAAGCTAATGGCTTATTAGTGATGTGACGCTACTACCTTCTTCTAAGGAACCTATTATATTCATTCACATCTATTCCTTTCAAAGGAAGAAACACCAGTGAGTGAGTCAGTCAATCAACCCCACCCACCCCACACTCCACTCCATCCATTGCCTATAAAAGCACCACTGACCAAGATCCCCAGCTCATTCAACACCCTCTTCCACGCCAGGAACACGGAAGAACAGCCTCATTTCCCCACACCAATCTCCCACATCAACAACAGACAGAGCCAGAGCCCCAATCCCACCCACCCTAGCACGAGGAAAAACAGAGCATAAGAGACCTTAAGAGAGGCATGGCGCCGTCCTACGACAAGACCATCGCCACGGCGGCCTCCCTCGCGGCGTTCCTCATGCTCGTCCGCAGCCTCGCGAGCGAGCTGCTGCCGGCCGAGGTGCGCGGTGCCCTCTCCGCTCGCGCATGACGTGGCAGCACACCATCGTCATCGAGGAGACCGAGGGCTGGTCCAGCAACCGCGTCTACAACGCCGTCAAGGCCTACCTGGCCACGCGCATCAACGCCAACATCAACATGCAGCGCCTCCGCGTCAGCAGCACCGAGGAGGACGTCAAGAAGATGGTCGTCAGCATGGAGGCGGGCGAGGAGATGGCAGATGTGTACGAAGGAGCGGAGTTCAAGTGGTGCCTGGTCACCCGCGAGGTCAGTGGCGACCCGAACAACGGCAGCGGCGGGGGCCGGGAGATCAGGTCCTACGAGGTGAGCTTCAACAAGAGGCACAAGGAGAAGGCCCTGAAAGAGTACCTCCCGTTCATCGTCGCCACGGCCAAGGCCATCAAGGACCAGGAGAGGAGCCTCAGCATCTACATGAACGAACGCTACGACGAGTGGTCCCCGATTGACCTCCAACACCCCTCCACCTTCGACACGCTAACCATGGACCAGAAGCAGAAGCAGTCAATTATCGATGACCTCGACAGGTTCATCCAGAGGAAAGAGTACTACAGGAGGATCGGCAAGGCGTGGAAGCGCGGGTACCTGTTGTACGGCCCACCGGGCACCGGCAAGTCCAGCCTCATCGCCGCCATTGCCAACCACCTCAGGTTTGACATTTACGACCTCGAGCTGACCGGGGTCAATTCCAACTCGGATCTCAGGAGGCTTCTTGTCGGGATGACCAACCGGTCCATTCTCGTGGTTGAGGACATCGACTGCACCATTGAACTGGAGCAGCGGGAGGAAGATGACGAGGAGGATTCCAAATCCAGTTCTACAGAAAAGAAGGCACAAGACAAGGTAAACCTTGCAGTCAGAATGAACACCTTATGAGTATATATAAACCTCTCTGTTTCTCCTTATTATTTGACAGCTTTCTTTCTTACCCATATGCTGATGACAACTTTTGTTGTTGTCTGCACAGGTTACATTGTCAGGGCTGCTCAATTTTGTAGATGGCTTGTGGTCGACAAGTGGGGAGGAAAGGATCCTCATCTTCACGACCAATTACAAGGAGCGTCTCGACCCGGCACTTCTGCGGCCTGGCAGGATGGACATGCACATCCACATGGGGTACTGCGCGACAGAGGCCTTCCAGATCCTTGCCAATAACTACCATTCCATTGACTACCATGTCACTTATCCTGAGATCGAGGCGTTGATCGAGGAGGTCTCGGTGACGCCTGCAGAGGTTGCCGAGGTTCTGATGAGGAGCGATGACACTGATGTTGCCCTCCATGATCTTGTCGAGCTCCTGAAATTGAAGAAGAAAGATGCCACTGAGATCAAGACTGGAAGTAAGCAGGCGGAGGAGAATAAAGACGCCAATGAGATCAAGACTGGAAGTAAGCAGGCAGAGGAGAAGAAAGAGGCCAATGAGATCAAGACAGAGAGTATGGAGGTGGACGGTGGCGATGAGATCAAGACTGGAAGTGTGCAGGTAGAGGAGAAGAAAGATGACAAAGAAGCGGTGGTGAAGAATGAGTTGACAGAAAACGGAAGCGGCTAGGAGCGCGGAAGCTGACGGTGACCAGCGACTACGCTACCTTGTACATAGGTCCTAAAATAAAGGAGACCCATTGGAACGTATGTTGATCATTTTGACAACTAATAGGAGTAGTGAGGCGCACCAGGGCTTGAGACATTGTGCTTCTAAATAATTTTGTAAGTACTGTGTTGCAGAAAGTTACATATATGCACCTTAACATCTTGCAAAAGATATTGCCCAACAGAGCTATGCGACGCAGAGATTATGGAGAGAACAAGCCAGGATAAAATTTGAGATCGCTATAACTAGTCGGTAGTGCTTAGCCGGAGATTGGCCACAGGGTTGATAAACCCAACTATTTCCTTGATGACATGCAGAATATTAGCATATAGTGCCCTCACATTATCCCCTAAGGCCCAAGCTGTGTAGTGGATGGAGCAGAGTAATCTGAGCAAAAAGGAAGCATTCTCTCGGAATATACTAACTGCCTGACATTCACAACGATCCATCGGTTGATGCAAAAAGAAAAGAAAAAACACGTGCACCGACCTGGACGGTCGACACCATGGTAACGCAATCTCATCATCACTTTCTCCAGACACCAGTAGCCATCCATCCAGCCACTGGAGTCATCGATTTGGCACCTGTTGTTTCAGTTGCACGACGTGGACGGGTCTTGGTCCCTGCGCGTCAGCTGGCATGGAACGGAAAGTAATGACAAACAAAAGCATAATAGCACGGAGTGGAAAGTAATGACAAGCAAAATCATGGCACTATATCAAGAATGGACAGCACAGGAAACGGTACACACAGCAGAAAATGACAGGTAGTAGAAGGAGTAGGCGGCAAGGATGATATATGCACAGCACCTGCATTCCAGGAAACTTGCGCCGCACACAGGAGTATCTCTGTATCTTCTTCCCTGCCGAAAAGGTGCAATCCCACAGAAGAAACGAACTTGGAAGCCAAGGAAGCAGAGTTCATGACACACACCGCTCGCTTTACGAATTCCGCGGTCCATCTGAAACGAATCCACGGGAAGATACTACATTCAGTAGGTGATTCAGATGCAAAATGAACATCCATTAGGAAATAATCAGTTGATGCCTCGAATATATACTACTACTGCTACTACGCTCCGGATAGTAAGTGCCAGTTTTCAGACTGCATTAACAATCTACCATATGCACAGAACGGTGATTAATTAATGCTGAAGGAAGTTACTCGGTTGCTTAGTGATGTGATGCTACCAGTACCTTTTCCAGCACCCACGCGGACGGCATCCAACGCGCAGTGACAAACAAAGGCACAGTACCATATATATAAAGGTAGCAGTAGAAGAAATAGGCAGCAAGTATGATACATGCACACAGCAACTGAATTTTCGGCTGTGTCTACCTCAGCAAGCTTACGTGATTCAGATGCAAATGCTCATTAACTAGCAAAGAAAAAGAAAAACAATCAAAAAGAGGAAAGAACCAATTGATGCTTCCAAATATATACTACTCCTATACTCCCAGAACACCACATGGTTAGTAGGTGCCGGTAATTACAGGCTGCATGATTAATCTGCCTTAAGCAGGAGATTCCCTTCCGGGACGAAATAAATTAGTGTGCAAGGAAGCTACTTGCTGATTACTCATGTGACGCTACTCTACAACCTAATGACCTACTCCCTCCGTTCCTTAATATAAGGTGTATTATTTTTTCAAAAAGTCAAACTTCTCTAAGTTTGACCGAGTTTATAGACAAAAATATCAATATCTAGAATACCAAATCATTATCACTAGATTCATCATGAACTATATTTTTACATTTTATATATTTAGTATTATAAATCTTTATATATTTTGCTGTAAAGCTGGTCAAACATAGACACTAGTTGACTTTTTGAAAAACTAATACACCTTATATTTAGGAACGGAGGGAGTATATATATTTCTCTCTGCCAAGTCCATTAATTATTCAGACCTCTTCCTTTCAGAGGAAGACGCCACACACATCTGCCAAGTCGGTCAGTCAACCCCACCCACCCCACACTCCAATCCAATCCATCGCCTATAAAAACCACCACCCATACCCCCAGATCCCCATCTCATTCAACACACTCTTCCACATCAACAACATACAGAACCAGAGCCCCAGACCCACCCATCCACCCACCCCCACACAACAAAAAAGCAGAGCTTCAAGAGCCATGGCACCGTCCTACGACAAGACCATCGCCACGGCGGCCTCGCTGGCGGCCTCCCTGATGCTCGTCCGCAGCCTGGCGAGCGAGCTGCTGCCGTCCGAGGTGCGCGACGCGCTCTCCGTAGCCCTCAACAGCCTGCGCTCCCGCATGACGTGGCAGCACACCATCGTCATCGAGGAGACGGAGGGGTGGTCCGGCAACCGCGTCTACGGCGCCGTCAAGGCCTACCTCGCCACGCGCATCAACGCCAACATGGACATGCAGCGCCTCCGCGTCAGCAGCACCGAGGAGGACGCCAAGAAGATGGTCGTTAGCATGGAGGCGGGGGAGGAGATGCTGGATGTACATGAGGGAGTGGAGTTCAGGTGGTTCCTGGTGACCCGGGAGGTGAAGGGGGACCTGAACAACGGTGGCGGCGGGGCACGGGAGATCAGGTCATACGAGGTGCGCTTCCACAAGAGGCACAAGGAGAAGGCCCTGAAAGAGTACCTCCCGTTCATCGTTGCCACAGCCAAGGCCATCAAGGACCAGGAGAGGAGCCTCAGCATCTACATGAACGAGTACGGCGACGAGTGGTCCCCCATCGACCTCCAGCACCCCTCCACCTTCGACACCCTCGCCATGGACCACAAGCAGAAACAGTCAATTGTGGATGACCTCGACCAGTTCATCAAGAGGAAGGACTACTACAGGAGGATCGGCAAGGCGTGGAAGCGCGGGTACCTGCTGTACGGCCCGCCGGGCACCGGCAAGTCCAGCCTCATCGCTGCCATCGCCAACCACCTCAGGTTCAACATTTACGACCTCGAGCTCACCGGGGTCAACTCCAACTCCGACCTCAGGAGGCTTCTCGTCGGGATGACCAACCGGTCCATTCTCGTGGTGGAGGACATCGACTGCACTATCGAACTGAAGCAGCGCGAGGAAGATGACAAGGAGCATGCCAAGTCCAATTCTACAGAAAAGAAGAAGGCAGAAGACAAGGTAAACTTTGATGTCAGAATGAATATCTTATATGTATACATAAACGTCTCTGCTTCTCCTTAATTTCAACAGCTTTCTTTCTTACCTATGCTGATGACAATTTTGTGGCTGCCTGCACACACAGGTCACGTTGTCTGGGCTGCTCAATTTTATTGATGGCTTGTGGTCAACAAGTGGGGAGGAAAGGGTCATCATCTTCACCACCAACTACAAGGAGCGTCTCGACCCAGCACTCCTGCGGCCTGGCAGGATGGACATGCACATCCACATGGGGTACTGCACCAAGGAGGCCTTCCGGATCCTTGCCAACAACTACCATTCCATCAACTACCATGCCACCTACCCAGAGATTGAGGCGCTGATCCAGGAGGTGACGGTGACGCCTGCAGAGGTCGCCGAGGTTCTGATGAGGAACGACGACACTGATGTTGCCCTCCATGATCTTGTCGAGCTACTGAAGTTAAAGAAGAAAGATGCCATTGAGATCGAAAGTAAGCAGGCAGAGGAGAAGAAAGACGCCAATGAGATCAAGACCCAGAGTATGCAGGTGGACAAGAAGAAAATTGTTGATGAGATCAAGACTGAAAGTGTGCAGGTGGAGAAGAAAGAAGACAAAAAGGTAGTGGTGAAGAATGATTTCACAGAAAACGGAAGCGGCTAGGAGTGCGGAAGCTGACGGTGACCAGAGACTCTGTGTACCCTGTAGATAGGTCCTACAGGAGATCCATTGGAGCATCTGTCGATCATTTTGAGAACTACAAATATTCCCTTTTTTTAGTAGTTCAACACACCTGTACTTAACAGTGTGCTTCTAAATAACTTTGTAAGTACTGTCGCAACAAGTTACATATATGCAACTTGACATCTTACATAAGATCCGACGTCTTGCCATGTCACCCTACACACAGCCAACCCTCAGACACAAGCAGAGGCTGCATAGTTACCTGCTAGTTACCATGAGATGATGGAGAGAACAAGCCAGGATAAAATTTGGGACTAGCATTAATATGCCAGGCCCAACTAGTTAGTAGTGCTTAGCAAAGATTGGTTGCAGGATGGAT